CCTTGGGGTCCCACAGAGGCAGTGGGATTCCATCCCAGAGAGTCTCTATGAATTGGAATCACCTCGATGATAGTAATTTTGTATTTTTGTTTTGAGTGGCTTTGTTCGCTTTAGTTGCAAAGCTTTCTGGTCAGAAGTGTCCCTGTGACCCACCTGTACTGACCCCACAAAAAGTCAGGGATTGGTCTTCCTCGGCACAAGGACACGCTGATGTTTCTGTTGATGCAGGTGCTTCTGCAGTCTCCGATTTTGACACATTTTCTGGTGTTTGATCTACAACATTGTGGTAAGCCGTGTTTGTGAAGCCTGATTGATAACGTTTTTGGAGAATAAAGTAGTAATAAAACAAAGCAAACTCGACTCCGTCAACCTGAGTCCATTCTGTCTCGTGTCAGCCTTAGGTAGGATTTTGGTGACTACAAATCTTTAGAGCAAATCGCTTCCTCTTTCTCCCTCCGAGCACCTGCTGGGTTGGAGCTGCCAACCTTGCCGTTGGTGGCCCAACGTTTAATCCACAGAACCAACAGGGTTCCTTAAAGGAAAAGAAGAAGAAAAATGTAAAGGTTTCCGCTCAGTTACTAATAAGGCTGTGACTAAGACCGCAACCCAACGTGGAACGAGTTCTCAAAACAGTTTTGATGTTAATACTCATATAATCTAAGAAATTCAATAAATTTATAACAATATAATTGATAATGAAGTTTACTAAGGATTCTATATGGTCTGCTATAGGAGAAAGTCCGTGGCGTCTGGATGACACCAAGAGTTACCTCACTGAGTAAGATCGGCCCTAGTGACCCCACTGCTCACAACAACACCACCACAAAAGAATACACACATCAAACAAAAGAAGCAATTGTTAATGCCAAGAGGGGAGCAAATGCCAAAAGAAACCAAAGGTGTGTGCCAGTAAAGAAACTAAATATAGTTGTACTACGCAAACCGGTAATGAACAGTGATCACTCAGTAAAAATAGCACAGAATTTAGTTATGAATTTAATCAAATATTGGGGTGTTACGCTATGGGAAGGCGCTCTGGTAACTTGGTGGTTAGGTGCTTAGGGGTTAACTGAACAGGTGGGTGCTTTGATATCACCATCATCTCTGCAGGAGAAAAGCTCCCAGAAGGGTTACACCCTTGTAAACCCGATGGGGTTCTTCAACCCTGTCCTGTAGGGTCAAGCAAGAAGAGTCGAATACTGGTAGCAAGCAACGACTGCCATGGAAGGAGAGGAGGAGGGGAGGGTGGCATGAGGTGGATCCTATTAGAGAGAAGCCCTTGTCCTCCACTTAGGCACCAATAGATACCCAAATGGAGAACCCAAGAAAGAGCGCGGGCGCGTGTTATTTCACATAGCTATGAAGTAAGTACAAAGAAAACCAGGTATGGTGACAGAAAGTTGGGAGAACATTGCGGGGGAGGTGTTGGAGGCAAGGTGGAGTTTGTAGACATGGCAGTCAGGAGCTGAGGACTTCCCCGCCAGGGTCCCCTTGCCCTCAGTGAGAGAGCGCCCAGGTGTAGGCTGGGCATCTGCTGGTGCAAAATACCCTCAAACCAAGAATCTTACCAAAGACACGCAACCAAAAAGAGAAAACAAGATTTGCACAGACAACCAACTCCGGACCCACTCAATCTGTGGCTCAACACAGACACACAGTCTGGGTCCATGCCATTTTCTGCATGTAAATCCATCCTCAGAGTGATCAACTTTGACCCAGCCAACACTAGACATCTCAGGGACAGAGGCACAAATGGCTCACAGCAAATAAACTAACCAGGGTTGTCTGGACATGCGCTCTGCACAATAACAAGGAGGGGAGGCTTGGGGAGGCTCCTGCTGACAAAACATCTCAGGGAGATATGTAAAAGCCTGATGGACAAGTTACTCACTCACTCCACTCACTCACTCACTCACTCCACTCACTCACTCACTCACTCCACTCACTCACTCACTCACTCACTCCACTCACTCACTCACTCACTCACT